ACGTAAAATAAAATATTTCTATGGTAAAAAAATGGTGTGCGTTAGGAAGGCTTTTTTATTATTTATTTAAGTGGGTATATCAAACAGTTTATTCAATAGTTTGCATAGAACCGTGATCACGGGAAGTGCTATTCGCACTTGGTACTCGCATATGGTACTTTTTCTGGTCATGCATACAGTAGATGCATGTTTGGGTACTAAATTCAGTGCGAAATGCCTGTACTGTCCAGTTATGGAGTACTATACTAAACTCTAGTTTATTTTTATTCCTTCTTTTTTAGTGTATTAATACTGCATACTTTTACTATTATATGTAACTATTCCCTCCGGGGAGTGAGTATGTGTTAATAAATAAATAATAATGATAATATTTATTGCATTTCTATCAGTACAGTAGCAATAAAAGTATAACCAAGTATAATAATAATAATAATGAAATAATAAAGAAAAATGTAATGTGGTAATTTTTTTACTAATACTAATAAGTTCAATAATAATAAAACTAAGACAAGTCTGTCTTTCTAATGAGTATAAATACCCCCACCATTTAACCAACATTATATTTTCGATCACATGTCTAGTCATTCAAGCACTGCTTTGAACATGGCCCTGCAGTCATATTAAACATTTGTTTTAAAAAACCAGCAGAATTGAATACAAGCAGAAAATGAAAACTGGAAAACATTTCTCACTATTTTGAAACTTTGCTAGGCACAGAGGAGTTACATAGATGTTTCACCGAGACCCAATTTATTTTTAGGATCTAGAGTTAAGTTTTAACCTTGACTTACCTACTGAACTTACTCACTGAAATGACTTTTTGACCTTGATTTATGCAAAGCATTAAAATGAAAATAAATCTAGGAAAATTGTAGAGCAAAGAGTTGATGGAGAGAGTTGAAAAGCTGCCAGCTTGTTCCTATGTTAAAGTAATGTAGACATGTACATGTTAAGCTACATTTAGGCATTTCCACAGATGTCTCCAAATATTTAGAACATTGACACAGCAACTTTGAACTTGGCCAAACATTTTTTTAGAAATCTACATATAGTATAATTAAAAAAATAGTTGAAAAAAATTCAAATATTCTCCTAGGTTGGCAAGCTACCATGCAGTTGCTTGTGCAAAATAATTGAATACAAACAGTGGAAAACAGAAATAATGAGGGGAAAAATGAAGCAGAGTCCTGGCTTTGAACTCAGGTCTGCCAGATTCCTTGTATAACCAATGCAGAACTACCTTTTTATGAATATCTCAAACAATATTTGAGCTAGACACACAAACTTTGAACTTGGCCAAGTATTTATATTAAAGCAGAATATATAGTAAATTGAGAACAGTTGAATAAATATTTTTTGACTTATTGCACAAGCCACGGTTATCAACCGATGACAGATGCCGCGGACAAAAACTTCCCCCTCCTATACCTTACCATTCTCATTTATGATTCTGGCAAGGTAAAAATACATGAAAAGCAAAATGTTGCATTCACATTTTGGAGAGAAAATTGTATTAAAAAATATGTATTCTGTATTTGCCAAACAGTTCATTCTGTTTCAGCTACTAGAGCCGAATGATAGAGCTTTTATAATACTAATTCAAAAACAAAGATTGCAGTGTTTGAAGATGTAGATTCTTAGGAGGCAACAGTACTGTTGACTTCTCCCTCCCTATTTTTTACTTTTCATATAATACAGTAGTCGCACAATGAGGCAGTTCATATTTGTCTCGGTGAATCATTAATTTTTGACAGACACCTGTATAAAATACTTGGGCATAAGCCAACTAAGATTTTCTGTTATCTTGCATGTTTTATGAATCTATTCACGTCTAAATGCAGCACTTTTTTCTGACATGAGATGAGACATTTGTTTTTATACTAAAGTATCTGAATTGACTTTGAATAAAGCTGAAAATGATGTCCCTTAAAATAATATAACAAATTAGGCACCAATGTTTTTGTATGATATTTACATCTATCAATGACATTCAGTAGACTGCTTTCCAACTGTTGTTTCAACCCCAAAACTTGTTTGTATTCAAAATTAATTATGACAATCCATACTCATATTAAAACAAACTATCATAAAGAGAAATATTATATAAAGGGCAAGGTCACCAGAATTCAACTATGTTTTTTAAGTGTAAAGAAATGTAACATTGTTTTACAAAAGGTGAGCGTAGGATAATATTTGAAGAGAATAATGATTTTTTCTTACAGTAAAGAGATAAAAATGCAGTGAAATGTTAAAAACGTTTCTAAAATTTTGTAGGTGTCAGAACCTATTATAATCTAAACATAGGGTTGTCAGAACATAGAGATGTCGTAACATAGAGCTGTCGGAATATAGGGATGTCGGAACATAGGGCTGTCGGAATATAGGGATGTCGGAACATAGGGGTGTCGGAATATAGGGGTGTCGGAACATAAGGGTGTCGGAATATAGGGATGTCGGAACATAGGGGTGTCGGAATATAGGGATGTCGGAACATAGGGGTCGGAACATAGGAATGTCGGAACATAGGGGTGTCGGAACATAGGAATGTCGGAACATAGGGGTGTCGGAATATAGGGATGTCGGAACATAGGAATGTCGGAATACAGGGATGTCGGAACATAGGGATGTCGGAACATAGGAATGTCGAAACATAGGGATGTCGGAACATAGGAATGTCGGAATATAGAGATGTCGGAACATAGGGATGTCGGAATATAGTGATGTCGGAACATAGAAATGTCGGAATATAGGGATGTCGGAACATAGGGATGTCGGAACATAGGAATGTCGGAATATAGGGATGTCGGAACATAGGAATGTCGGAATATAGGGATGTCGGAACATAGGAATGTCAGAATATAGGAATGTCGGAACATAGGGATGTCGAAACATAGGAATGTCGGAATATAGGGATGTCGGAACATAGGGATGTCGGAACATAGG